ACACACACACACACACAAATATATATATATATATATATATATATATATATATATATAATCTCGTACTTGCGAGCTGTCGTGGAAGACAATTGGCTTTTCATCATAAATCATGCACAGCTCGTCTCGTGCGCGCGGACAGAAGCACTCCATAAACGGGCTCGTATTTCATCGTCGAGGCTGATCAATTTCGCGTTTCGTCGTCGTCGTCGTCGTCACCGTCATCGTGTGCGTCCACACCGCAGCAGCAGCGGCCGGCTCGCGGGCTCTCCCCGGCCGCCCTCGCCCTCCATTTATCACGCGAAAACTAATGGGCCCTAATTGTGCGCTCCATATGTCAGGTTTTATCGCCGGACATAAAAACGTGTTCATTGATTTTAAAAGCTGCTGTCACCGTAGAGCCAGCCAGCTGCGTACAAACGGCGACCTCCTCCCGGCTGTCCCAGTCGCACAGTCCCCCGCCTTTGCTATATGAATCTTCGAGCATCAATCGGCTGCTAGCTTTCTTGACGGAGCGATACCGCGTGACCACGCAGTCGCCGCTATCAGCCGCCGCACCAAATTATTTTAAAGCCCATGCAATAAAACGACTAGCGGATCTCGCCGAACAAACTGCAGAGAAGCAGATAAGCGAAGGATAAATAATTTTCGCTCATTTGGAATTTGCGAGGATTTCAGGATCGGTGAATGACGACGACGACGCATGCCTTTCACGACGTCGCTACTTAACGACGGCCTGTACGCAGTCGGTCAATATTACATATCAGATGCTCTCGGCGTCGACTTGGCCTGGCCTGTGCGCCACCGATACGCCGCGCGGAATATTGCATAGGTAATAACAAACCGCGCGCGCGATTCCTCCGATGGCTATTCTGTAGCAGATTTCTGATATCGAGTAACTTGTGAATATTTGCGCTGTCGTTCTGTTTGCGCAGCGATGGCAAGATAACATGTACGTGCGAGAACCGATCGCTGTTCGAACGACCTTTCGTCGGTACGTGCGCCGCTAGTTGGCCGTCTCGCGACATCATAAGGCATCGCAAATGTCAGGCGTTTGCACAGCGCAGCTTTATCGAATATCTATGAAGTTCGTGCAAGCCAGCGCGCCTCGGGTTCGT